CAGTATGGGCCTAACATACACAGTGTACAGTGCACAGTGTGTGTGTGTGTGTGTGTGTGTGTGTGTGTGTGTGTGTGTGTGTGGTGTGTGTGTGTGTGTGAGTGTGTACTCACCTATTTGTACTCACCTATTTGTGGTTGCAGGGGTCGAGTCACAGCTCCTGGCCCCCGCCTCTTCGCTGATTGCTACTAGGTCCTCTCTCTCCCTGCCCCATGAGCTCTATCATACATCGCCTTAAAACTATGTATGGTGTGTGTGTGTGTGTGTGTGTGTGTGTGTGTGTGTGTGTGTGTGTGTGTTGTGTGTGTGTGTGTGTGTGTGTGTGTGTGTGTGTGTGTGTTTGTGTTTGTGTGTTTCTGTGTGTGTGTGGTGTGTGTGTGTGTGTGTGTGTGGTGTGTGTGGGGGTACTCACCTATTTGTACTCACCGATTTGTGGTTGCAGGAGTCGAGACTCAGCTCCTGGCCCCGCCTCTTCACTGACCGCTACTGGGTCCACCCTCTCCCTGTTCCATGAGCTTTATCATATCTCGTCTTAAAACTATGTATGGCTCCTGCCCCCACTACATCACTTGTCAGGCTATTCCACTTCCTAACAACTCTGTGGCTGAAGAAATACTTCCTAACATCCCTTTGACTCATTTGAGTCTTCAACTTCCAATTGTGACCCCTTGTTTCTGTGTCCCATCTCTGGAACATCCTGTATCTGTCCACCTTATCTATTCCACGCAGTATTTTGTATGTCGTTATCATGTCTCCCCTGACCTTCCTATCCTCCAGTATTGTCATGCCGATTTCCCTTAACCTTTCTTCGTAGGACACTCCTCTTAGCTCTGGAACTAGCCTTGTTGCAAACTTTTGCACTTTCTCGAATTTCTTGACGTGCTTGACGAGGTGTGGGTGCCAAACTGGTGCTGCGTACTCCAGTATGGGCCTGACATATATGGTGTACAGAGTCTTGAAGGATTCCTTACTATTCTCAGGTTTGCCAGGCGCCCATATGCCGCAGCACTTATCCCGTTAATGTGTGCTTCCGGAGATGTGCTCGGTATTATACTCACCCCAGGATCTTTCTCCTTGAGCGAGGTTTACAGTCTTTGGCCACCTAGCCTATACTCTGTCTGCGGTCTTCTTTGCTCTTCCCCGATCTTCATGACTTTGTATTTGGCGGAGTTAAATTCTAGAAGCCAGTTACTGGACCAGGTGTCCAGCCTGTCCAGGTCTCTTTGTAGTCCTGTTTGATCCTTATCTGATTTGCTCCTCCTCATTAACTTCACATCATCTGCCAACAGGGACGCTTCTGATTCTGTCCCTTCCGTCATGTCATTCACATATACCAAGAATAACACTGGTCCCAGGACCGACCCCTGTGGGACCCCGCTCGTCACAGGCGCCCACTGCGATACCTCATCACGTACCATGACTCGCTGTTGCCTCCCTGTCAGGTATTCTCTGATCCTTTGCAGTGCCCTTCCTGTTATATGTGCCTGATCTTCTAGCTTCTGCACTAATCTCTTGGCTCTCCATGTTTTGGGACCCCCATGTGGCTCCAGGTTTTCCCAATCAATCTCCCTGTGATTGAAGTCGGCCATGACCAGTAACTTCACTCTACTCGAATAAGCCCTTCTTGCCACCTCAGCTAGTGTGTCCACCATTGCTCTGTTGCACTCATCATATTCCTCTCTTGGCCTCCTGCAGTTCTGTTGTGGGTTATACATCACTGCAATGACTACCTTGTGTTCCCCTGACTGAACTGTACCTACTATGTAATCCCTTTCTCCAATCTCGTCCATTCCTTCCATTTCTTGATAATCCCACCGGTTTTTAATTAGCAGTGCAGCCCCTCCTCCCTCTCTGCTCCTTCTATCCTTCCTCAGGATCTGATATCCGGGTAGAAAGATTGAATCTGTTATTATCCCAGTGAGTTTTGTTTCTGTAACCACTACAATGTCTGGGGACATCTCCTTGATTCTTTCATGCCACTCCTCACATTTATTCGTTATTCCATCCTCCTTTGTATACCAAACCTTCAACTTCTTTTCTATAACTGTGGTCTGGGGAGAAAGGGGGTTTGGGGGAGAGGGGCCCCCGGGAGGGCCTGTAGGGGGGTTTCTTTAAGGGGGGGGTCTGTGGTGGGGGGGTGGGGGCGAGGGAAAGGGGGGGGTTTTTGGGGGGTGGGGGTTGTGGGAGGGGGATGGGGGTGGAGGGGACATGTGCGGGTTTCGTGGGTTTCTGTGGGGGTGGGGTTTGTGGTGGGAGGGGTGGGGAGAGGGTACATTGGGGGGTTACTGTGGGTTTCTGTGGGGGGGGGGTTTGAGCTGAGGGGATGTGTGGGTTTCTGTGAGTGTCTGTGGGGGGGGTTTTGGCTGAAGGTGGGGGCAAAAGGTACAGTGAGTGGGTTTTTGGGTTGGTTGTTTGATTGCTTTGGGACTGCCATGGTTGGTTCCTTTTGTGGGTGGTACTGGGGGGGGGGTTGTGCTTGCTTTTCCACCGGGCCCCATTTTCCCCGCTCTCCCCTTCCTTCCCTCCCTTCCCCCCCTTTCGACATTCCCCTCTCTTTCAGTATCACCTTTCTTTTGTTTTCGTCTCATCCGTTATACTGGAACTCCTATTTTTCCCTTAGGCGCGCTTTCTCCGCAGGATCCGTTTCGAGTGATCTTCTGAAAATCCTTTGATGGACTTCTTTTTTCCCCTCGCAAACCCCTCATTCCCGAAAATTTTTAAGCTGGGTCAGTTCCTCCCATTGCTTTCTGATGCTTTCAATCTTTTTTTTTTTTTCCTCCCGTTTCCTTTCCTGTAAGTTTCCCCATCTGTTTCTTGGGCCCCTAGACAAAAACGGGGCCCCCCCCCCCCTTTTTGTCCTCCACTGTACTTCCCCGGCATCCTCGATTCGAATCATTTTTGCCATTTCGCGTTGCTTCCTACTGCCTCTTCCCCATCCAAGGGCCCCCGTGCTTACTGTTTTCCCGGACGTGGCGGTTGTC